AACTACATAAATTTTTATTTTGGTGTCCTTTTAATCGTCTTGATGAAAACTCTTTAATGATATATTTTGTTATAAAACATTTATTTTATTATAATTAAATAAATTACATAAATTAATCAAAATATATAAAAGATATAAACAACTCATTAGAGGTAAATTGGTCATTTTATCTATTTTGTCCTGTCCAATTCTCTCAAACCAAAACCTGAACAATTGTTCTGTCCTGTTCTAAATACCAAACGCACCCTAAAGCCCAAAATACAGTTTATGAAAAGAAACTAGAAGATACAGAAAGACATACATGGATCCATCCAACAGGGACCAGGGATTGTTCATTTTGAATGGCAAATATCTCCTCTTCATTAACAGCCTGACACTAATAATGAGCAGAAAAATGTAAATTCTCGAATATTTGATATCATGTGGAGAACCCGGAAAATAAAGAACAGTCTGAAACAGTTAAAAGAAGAAACAAATAATCAACTTACAGAGCTAGAAGTCGCATCTTGTTTTGGTATTATAAGAGTTGTTACGTAATATGTCCGTTCTTTCTGTAAACAAAACGTATACAAGCTACTCAATTCAATAGCCAACCTTTTTAGACCTCCATATTGGCGGGGTTCAGAGAAACACCCCCAAACAAATGAAAAACTGAGGAATACTTTGGTAACCATTCATCTGGACGGTATGCACACGTGCATACAAGCAATTGAAGTTGTTTCTTGGTTTATATGCATGTGTGAATGTTACGCACAAGTGCATACCGAACAATTTGCTTACAAATTACTTGTATGCAAATGTGCATACCGTCCAGATGAATAGGTTACCAGGTGTTCCCAGTTTTTCATTTTTTTCGCGGTTTCTCGTGAACCTGACCCCCTCCATATTAATGTAAATGAAACCACCATACAGGAAAAGTAATCACGATAACTATAAACAACATGAGGCAACACGTTATCAAGCTTCAACTAGATAAATCAAGTAAAAATGATGCATAAATTATTTTCTCCGAACAGGTGAAAGCGAAACTGCCTCCCTTCCATGAGTAGTGTTAGAAAAAATGAAGAGAAGAAAATACCCATTTATGTGCTATTAGGAACCAAATGTTGGTGAAGTAACCCATTCCACTAGCAAAAAACAAAAGTATAGATGTGTAAATATGTTTCTAGAAGAGTCTGAAGTAACCCATTTCACACTATGAGGCTAAAAGCATAAATACAGGTTTGGGATGATCGCCTTTTGGCAACAATTAACTATATAATAACCTAGATTGGATTATACGATAAGAGGATTAAGGGTCTGTTTGTTTGCAGCTAATAAGCTTAATGGAGCTCACAGCTTATCCGGTCAGTTATTCATGACTGTTTGGTAGGGGCTTGATGATGTAGAAAGTGACTTATTCAGTAAGCTTCTAGAGATGAGTTTTATGGAAAAAGCCAAGTTTTTTCCAAACCTATCCCTTCCAATTAAAAACACGCTTCTTCCATCTATGAAAAAGCCCTCACAAACAAAAACCATTCCAATCTATACGAATATATTAATCCACACAGACGGCTTTATCCATACAGGTCTTAATAGAAAACCAACCAAACAGCCCTTAAGTAATATTCAACAACAAAAATAAATCTGATTTGTTTATAACAATCACAGAGAAGTTCTATATGAAAAGCTCAAAACCTTTTTGCATTATTTTAAGAATTTGGTACAATATATAATGAGATAACAATGACCAACATTAATAGTCAAGAGCATAGAACTTACAAGAAAAGCGCCAAGCACGCCACAGGTCTCCAAATCCTTGCTTGTGTTATCTTTGGCAACTTCAAGAAAGCCATTAAGTAATTGTGTCGACTGAAAAAATTGAACTTTATTAAGATTAATTACTTCTTTGATTTCCACAAGCAATGCATGTGTAACACCCCAGAGCCCAAAGCAACAGACTGACCCAATAACTTCAAATCCAACTTAAAGCCATGGTAGAAGTTATTGGTAGCCCATAATTCGAGGCTTACAAGGATCTCACAAATCCCATTTTCTATCTATGTGGGACGAGTTGTTACAAACTCCCCTACTTAAACTATTGGCGTCCTCGTCAGGCTTGCCCAAAATCTTCCTCATTTCGAATCCAACTTATGACCATGGTGGAAGTTATTGGTAGCCTACAACTTGAAGCTTATAAGGAGCTCACAATTCCCATTTTCTATCTATGTGGAACAAGTTATTACAGCATGGTAGAGTGGAAGCATAAAATTGGAAATGGTCAATCACAGCTAGTTACAATTTTGCATTATAATTACGTCAAACAACAAAAAGAGTTCCAAATCCTTACTATGTGGACATCTTTGAGGACATTGGATGCCGTTGATTCATCAACAAAAGATTTTGGATGTCTATTCTCTGAACTTGGACTTGTGATGCGTGAAATCTCTGCCGCATGTGGTGCCTTGTGTATGCAGGAGATTATAGGAGAAGGATAAGAGTGTGTAACTCTGCATATATTAGATTGCATAAAACCTATTTTGTTCATTAGGATGTTTCCTGCCAGTGCCAAGTGGGAAACTTAGATGAATGAGCCGATACCAACCTTGAGCGCAACCAGTTTACATCTGAAGTACTGGCATTTCTGCAAACAAATATACATATGAGTTCTTGTGAAGAGTTCGCAAGCATTAGACTAATGAGCACCAACGGAATATTCTTTGATTACAACTTATTGTTCAGACAAAGTTTGAGATGAAATTGTTTATGAAAATCCACTAAATTAAAATGACAGGATAAAACAACTTTGGCATGGATGGACATGTCCCAAAGAAAAATGTTCACGTCATCTGTTTGGAGTTTACAAGGTCTAATTTAGTAGTGTCATTATTCATTCTGACATTTGCAGTCCTATAAATCCTACATCTAACGGAGGTAAAAGCTGTTTTTTTGGAATGGTGTCCCCACTATGCATGGACTAATCCAGCAAATTGAGACTGCAAGAAATCAGCCCTAATAAACTTAGTGGCCACAATTGTTGTGTACACCTGGAATCGAACCTGGGCAGATGGGATATTCCACCACATCCCCCAAGACTTCAACCACTACGCCACAACCCTTGTGGTTGGGTAAAAGCTGCTTCATGGAGCAGTAATAGACTAATGGTCTTCATCAACAAATTCCAGCAAGTTTAGAAGAGGAGGAACAACAGCAGCCCATGAAGATCAATCCAAAAGCAGGTCCAACCATAGAAGAACGTAGAGGTGCTAGTTCAAACTCCCTGGACTATCATTGGACATCCTCAATGTAGAAAAAAGCATGTGAATGCATGGAAAACTATTAGATATATGAGATTGGTCAATCTGAAAACAATGGATGTTTAAATTTCAGCTATAAAAAAAAGAATGCTTGGGAGATGACCAAATTCCAAAAGGAAAGAAGTTAATTAAAAGTTTTTTATGGAAGGGTGTCCCAGGCTATGCAGACTAATTCCGGCAAATTGTGACCGCAAGACATCGGCCCTGACAAACTCAGTGTGGACGCCTAGAATTGAACCCAGAGCAAATGGGATATTCCACTCGGTCTCAACCACAACGCTTGTGGTTAAGTTAATTAAAGTCAGAGGCATTTATAAAACCAAATTCAAAGAGAATGGCGAAGTTGAGTAGTTGACAAGTATATAAGCACAATTTGGTAATGATTATAAAGAAGTGTTTACACCCTGGCTACGCTTGACAGATGATGGAAAACCCATTTCTGGTAATGAGTTCATGTTAGGTTCAGGAGCATTTCATGGTCATAAGATTTGCAAGGTATTGTTGATGATCAGACTTTTTTACAAGAAACAAGAAAATGCAGATTTAGGGCCTCTTTGGTAGCAGCTTAATGAGACTTACAGCTTATTGGGTCAGCTATACATAACTGTTTGGTAGTGGCTTGATGATATAGAAAGTGGCTTATTCGGTAAGCTTCATGGGGGAGCTTTATGAAGAAAATCAATTTTTTTCCAAACTTGTCCTTCCCAATTAAAAAACACGCTCCTTCCATCTATAAATAAACTCATTCAAACAAAAACCTTCCCAATCTATCCAGACAGATAATACCACTCAAACTTTATCCATACAGAACTTGATGGAAAACCGAATAAACAACCCCTTACTAGGTTTACTATAGCAGCCTCACAATAGAACAGATTCAGCTGATGGAAAACCCGCTTCTGGTGACGGGTTCGTGTTAGGCTCAGAAGGGTTTCATGGTCATAATATTTGCAAGGTACTGTTGATGATCGGATTTTTTTTAATAGAAACAAGAAAATGATGCAGATTTAGGGGCTGTTTGGCAATTGCTGAATGGTTTGGTGCAGAATTATTAACCGGTCAAAATGATTGAGCGGCTCTCATGATATAGTGCAAAATGAAATATAATTGTTTGGTAATTTTTTACAATGCAATTAGGGTGCTGAATGATTAAGGGAGGTCCAGGATACAAAATCATTCAGAGGATTTTAGAACCATTAAGAGGCAAACTTTTTTTGTCAAACAAGATTCGCCTCTGACTGATTCAGAAGTTGCCTCTTAATGATTCAGAAGTTGCCTCTTAACAGAACTATTAAGAGGTAAACAAACAACCCCTTAGTAGGTTAATTGATAGCATCCTTGCAATAAAAAAAGATTCAGATGATGGAAACCCCAGTTCCGGCAATGAGTTCATGTCAGGTTAGGAGCGGGTTCTTTTAAGTATATAACATTTATATACGGCAAAGCGCACACACACTCCTCACCTTTGAGGAGGCTTGAAACCTTGACCTCCAAGAAGGTTGGGTTACCGGGTACCATTGGGCCAATGGCCCTTTGGTGGTTCAGGAGCAGTTTCATGGTCGTAAAAGAAACAATGAACTGTTACACTGTTAAATACCAAAAACAGAATGTGTAGCAGCAACCTCTTGCACCTGTCTAGCAAATAGGTTGAGGAAAACCGAAGTGGAACTTCAAGTTACACAAGAAGGACTTACTGCAATTTATTGTAAATGCATTTTTATTTTTATTTTTTAATAAAGTTGTGAAAGCAATTTTGCAATTAAGCTAATCTTGTCTTACAAAAGAAAAAAAAAGCATACAGATGCAAGATTTCATCCTAGCACGATCTTAAAGAGGAAGAGACTACGAACATCATTTTTAATGCAGCAGTGAAGAACAAGTTGCTGATATCTTTACCAACACCTCAAATTGTCAACATTCAAGAAGCTGAAAGAGTTGCTAGACGTTTGTACTTCAAGGGAGGCATTGCATGATTGAAGAACTTTAAGCTGAAGTTATGAACTTATCAGCTTAAGGGAGGGATTGCTGGAATGTGGTTTTTAATTAGTAGTCTTCTTCTTTACTGGGTTTAGTTGTAGTATGGGTCTTTAAGAAGTGGTTTTTTGAACAATGTTGTTTTAGTGACTTATAATTATGGGGGTAGCTTTTGCCCAGTATGCAGAGTGGATAGCACATCTCTCACACCTTAAGCACTTTGCGTCGCCTATATACATGAACTTGAGTACAATATTTTTTATCAGATATCGAGTGTTTGTTTCAATTATATTATCTGTCTTTCCATGTTGGTGATTTTAATGTCAAAACATTTTAGCATGATTGTGATTTACGTGAGATGGATTGGGTGATAAGGCAAACATAGGTGAGTTAGGAGGTGCGGATTGCACACTCACAAATGTTGTCTTTATCACCTTAGATCGCCATAAGGCAGGAGTCAAGGGAGCTGCACACCCTTGCGCGGTTCTAGGGGCAGCTCCCCGAGGTTTATGGATTTTCAGAAGAGTTAAACTTAGAGAATTTTAGTTTCGGGATGATCTGGTCAAATTTCAGAAGGTTGAAAACCTTCTTGAATTTGTTCCGGAAATTAACCTTCTGAAATTTGTTATTGAAGTTGGTAGAAATTTGACCAAGTCTGGGTCAGAGATAGAATCAGAACTCTGGTTGACATTCCTTTTGATTTTGATACAGTTGTAACTACTTTCAAGTCTTATCCGTCAACAGTTATAACCATCCGTAGTCATCGATCTCTCATATAAATACGTAACTGAGAATCTGGGTATGTATAAGGACTCAAGCTCACCGCCTTCCCAATTCCCAATATGAAATCCGTGATACCCAAGGCTATAAGGGATCCAACGAGAATATCTGGTCCACGAATATCTCCAAATCCCCAACTCCTAACATGCCATTCTATCATTCTACTGCCCGAACCGACACGTGATCCCAATTCCGATGGATCACAGATGGGAACCAGAACCAAAACCAAATTGATCAACTACGGCTTAACCCTAATCGCTGGCGTGTGAATTTATCTTACACATACAAAAATCAAACCAATTACCGATATGAACAGGAAAACCCTATAAAAAATTTATATGCAAACGAAAACACTGAACAAAACTCAACGCTAGAGTCTAGATCAACCAGAAACTTATTGTTCTTACCTAATTGTTCGATTAGCATATGAATTTACAATCATCTAACAATCAGCAAACAAGAAACTGATCATGGAAATTTGTGCTTACAGAGCTGAGGGAGAACGTTACAGCAAAATCAAGGAATCCTTTTGGTGCTATCGAACAAATCCGCCTAAATTGCATCCATCTTTTTGCACAAATTGTTATTTTGATGCATCCTTCTTCATCATCGGGTTATCTATTTTCGATCCGTGTGCCATTTTTGGGGGTACAAACAGTCAAAAGTATTCCCACCCGCCAAATTCCGCCCATCCATGATGGTGGAATATAGAAATCACGAAATAGCCCCTCATTGGTTTGTAAATTTCAAATGAAATTGAGGATCAAACGGTCTTTTAGCGGTTTCTGTTGTGATTACGAAATAGCCCTTGGCTGAGTTGAAAGGGGTGATTGAGATTGATTATAAAAACAATTTATTTTATATTATTCTGACATCAGTAATAAATATTTTTAAATATATGAATAAATAGTTTATGTTGGGGTCAAATCGATAATAAGAAGTTTTTGAAAAAGTTAATCTTCTGGTTCTACATATTTTTTATCTCTTTTAAAACTCTTTTGAAAATTAATCTTGTGGTTCTACATATTCTTAAAAACATTTTTTTTGTTATTAACCTGAATATCCAACCCGTTATGCGAGCCCATTAATCCCACGACGACCACCCGCTTCAAGGACGGAGTCACCGGATATGAACCTCCGGAGTCACAACATGGTTTTTACATTGGTTTCGTAAATTATACAAATATCAAAATCAAATTTACAAACTTGTAATGCTCTAAAAGTCCGTTTGGTTTGCATGATTGTTTTTGAGTAATTTGGATTTCATGACGGGATTTAGATTGGAATAGATTTGAAATCATTAGTGTGTTTGGTTGTAGAGGATTTGGAATGGAATTTGAATTCATTATTTATAAATAACTTATAGAAATAATTATAAAAATAATTGAATTTCATTTTTATTAATCGATTATTGCAAAACAAATGTTTTAACATTTTTTAGAACCTTATTGCATACAATCCTACGAAATTCCAAGCATTCCCTAAGGATTTCAAAATCCTATGTTTTAAGGATTTCAAATTCGGACAATCCAACAAATCAAACATAGATTGGAATGGATTTAAAATGCAAATCCTCCCAAATTCATTTCATTCCTTCAAACCAAACGGGACCTAAATGTATAGGCTTTTCTTAAATACAATTTTTCTCCGGATTATGTTTTTTCAAATGTATTTTAACACAAGAAATAAGTCACCGAACGGTTTGCTTTCCAGGTTCAAATACAAAGAGGAATAAAAATTCTCTTGTGGCCACGGAGGTTCAAATGCGGTGACTCCGGGCTATCTGCAAAGCAGGTGGTCGCCCTGAAATTAGTCGGCTCGCATAGCAGGTTTGATATCCAGGTTAATAAAAAAAAGGTCACCGAACGGTTTGCTTTCCATTAAAGAATCCGAGTCTGGTCCCAAGCTTTCTTCCTTTCCGTTATAATATGGATTACATTACTGATATATAGTTACGCACAACCTTTTAATACAAATAACGTATTATTTTCATCTTAAAATATGTCTAAAAAAATGTTGTATTTTTCATATAACAAATTTCAAATTCAAAATGTTGTTAAGATTCATGATTTTATTCCCATTATTTTTGCCTAAATAAACGTATGGAGCAAATGTGTAACATAAAGATTCTCTCATCTCAATGAGATAACTCATTTAGAAGCCTAGGTGAATTCCCCTATCACTTTCTTTATCCAATTTGTCTTCATTCTTTAAATTTGTTTTATTAGGGTTTTTCAATCGTTACACCATTTTCAAGAACTGAAATTACACAGCACAGCAAATATACAACTGCTACTGCATAAATTACAAGATTTTACAGCATTTTTGATCAGGGTTTCATGATTACTGCTCGGGAACAAAGGTATTATCTTGTATTTTAGCAAGATTCGATGCAATTGCTGCTTCTTTGTTTCCCCCAATTTAAACCCCACATCCCCATGAAGCACTTCTCTAGGAGAAAAAGCCAGATTGCTTCATTTTGAGAAACAATTGCTTTTTACGGTACGTTTTTTTAATTTTCTTAGAAACTATACAAATTAGGATCGTTATTGCATTCGTAATTGTATATTATTATTATTATATGAGTTTATATAAAAAGAATGAATCGAAGAACTCGTTAGAAACGTGAAGCTTTTGTTGTTTGTTTATTGACGTATGTTGCGTAAAGGTTATGAGAAATGAGACGTTAATACATTTTGTATGTATATTTTAACACATTTTTGTGTTGATTGTTTAAATGTTGAATAAACGATTTATATTATGTAAATTGTAAGCTCAATGTGATTGTGTTCATACAAATTTTTATGGTATTTGCTAATGTATGTATGTATGTATGTATGTATGTATGTATGTGTGTATGTGTGTATGTGTGTATGTATGTATGTATGTATGTATGTATGTATGTATGTATGTATGTATGTATGTGTGTATGTATGTGTGTATGTGTGTGTATGTGTGTGTGTGTATGTATGTATGTATGTATGTATGTATGTATGTATGTGTGTGTGCGCAAAAGACCCGTAAACCTAACCCACGATGATGACAAATTTGTTGTTTACTAAGTTTAGTGATTTATAACAGGTTTGAATAACTGTCAAGGATAACTAATGGCTACGAAATTTAAGAATTGCATCACACTATGTTGCACCAGAAAACCCTCGGTAAGAGTTTCTCCATTCCAACGTTCTATTTCGGTTAACAGTACAAGCATGCGTATATACATTTCGATGTTTATACATATCGTCTAAAATCTCTATGAATATGGTATGTGTTAAGTGGTGCACATTTATGACAATGGGTAATAGTTTATGAACATTATTCACCAATCAGTATTTTTGTTTATCACAATAACACTGCATTAGTTGTGCAGTTTCATGCTAAATGTCACATACTGCAAATAGTATCCATAGAATTCATAGTGTTCACATATTGTTTTTTTGGGAAATCCGTTGGCATTCGGGTCAGTTTACGTCCACTTCATCAAATTCGACTCTTAAGTTAAAAGTCAGACAAACATCTAATGGTACTGAAAAGTTTCGAACTGATGAATACTAGATAACAAACTCAAAAATCTTACCAATTAAATTACCTGGAAAGTTAAATTCACACATTGCTCATGCGAAAACCCAAAAAATTTGGAAGCTCAAAAGGATTATGTCTATACATGGGAATATAGTAGAGTTGTTCACAAACGGGATGACTCGTTAGACTCGTCCTGTCCGGCATGTTAGAAAAGCGGATTTGGGTTATCATTGTTGAAGAAATTAGTGGGTTTGCACTGACTTGTTAAAATTAATGGACGAACATTTACATGGGCAATTGAAGAAAATATTTTATCATAAATAATTTTATAATAGTTAACTTTTATAATTAAAATTCACAAATAAAATTGAAAATTCTTAATATTTATCAATTCTTATTTAATTATGACTCCCGATAATAACATTTTTTAAAAATCTTAAATTTGAAAATATAATTACCTCAATTGATCAATTCCTTATTATCTCATGAGGAAATTGCATGAAAAAGTAATGTACTTTAACTTGATTCCTATTTTGGGTAATGTACTTTCAAAACTTCTATTTTGGTACCTAAGATGTAAAATTTTAAACATTTAAGTACCCGGATAAACGGTTGAAGCATTAACCAGTTATCATGTTGATGTCTCGATTGATGTCGTATCCAACTCAATATTATTTGCTAACATGGTTAGTGGCATGATTTTTTTTTAAATCTAAAATTACTCTCTTTTAAATCTAAAATTAGTCTTTAATTGGTTACTCGGGTACTTAAATATTTAAAACTTTACATCTTAGGTACTAAAATAGAAGTTTTGAAAGTATGTTACCCAAAATAGGAATTAAGTTAAAGTACGTTACTTTTTCATGTAATTTGCCCTTATCTCATTTAGTCATTTTCTTTATTAATATTTCATATTTAGCGAAACAATTTCTTTCTAAAGTATGTATATTGTTATGCATTTTCATTAAAATTTAAAGTTGGAAAAATTGTTATGTATTTTGAATTATTTTACATAACTTGTGATTTTATATAAATTTTGTTTTCATAAAATATAACAAGATTTTTAAGCCCGTGGGCAAACCTGATCCGTTTATAGGGCGGGTATGGTTATGAGTAAGTTCTCAACCCATAAAAACGGGTTTAGTTTTACCATATTAGGCCTGTTGGACAAAAAAATAGGTTAAGCTCAGTCCAGGATCTTAATCAGAATGTTGTTAAAACCCTTGTGGCCATACAGGTTTACCTACTATGACCTAAGCTATTCATTATCAGTTAAAAATTTAGTCGGTACACATAAACTGACCCGAAAAAATATACCGTTATCCAAAAGAATTTATAACATTATTAAATAATATGCATAAGCTTAACCCACTACACCAACAAACCAATTATTTTAGTACATTTCGTGAGGCCACATCATGACAAAGTGGTCAAATGACTTTTGAATAAGTTGAATCAATATCAAACTCCACTAGAGCATCATGATCCATGCGTCACACAAAATAGTATATGTTGAGGGAGATTTAAATAAGAGAATATGAAAACGGTCAAAATTCGTGAGTCGTGACCCGTGATCTTAGATCGTAGTTAAGATCACGTGAATCACATGTGATTTTATAGTAAAATCATGTGATTCGTTTATTTAATTATTGTTCTCGTATGAACCTAACATGACTTTGGGGTCGTTTGTTTACCTCTTAATAGTTTCATTAAGAGGCAACTATGAATCATTAAGAGGTGAATCTTGTTTGGCAAAAAAAAGATCTGCCTCTTAATAACTTTAAAACCTTCTGAATGATTTTGTATTATAGGTATCTCTTAACCATTCAACACTCTAATTTCATTGTAAACAATTACTAAACAATTATATCTCATTTTGCACTATATCATAAAAGTCTCTTAATCATTCTGACCACTTAATCACTCTGCACCAAATCATTCAACAACTGTCAAACATCCCCTTTATGTATGTATATATTAAATCAATGTGAAATTGACTCAAATAGTCATTCCACTCATTCAAATTGGTTTCCTAGCCATTCATCTCCTTTGTTTACCCAAATGTCCTTACATCCACAATATCCGCATCCGCAATTTTGCGGACCAAGATTAAAAAAAAATCAAATTCCACAAGTTTAGCAAGTGGCACAATCGCAATTGTGTACCAAAGTTGAACCTGATAAATTTTTTCTGTCTTTTAGCCGGGTTTGCAATATTACGAACATAATAACATTTAAGTAAACTTAAAAGAAAAATGACTAGAAAACCAATTTAAATATTTAATTCAATTTCCCAAAATCGAATTATAGTATACCTTTTCCATGTAGTCCGTTAGGAGGTCATAGAAGGCGTTAGACAATGCTAAATTGGGGTAGTCAACAACTCAACAAAACTTGAAAGTCAAACTTTATATACGTAAAATAATATTTAATAAAATGAAATTAAATTAAAGAAATTACGTAATATATTTTTAATACTTCTTAACGAGTAAATGAATGACATGAAACTAAAAGAATATTTAAAGATATGATATGATGACAATAATTAATTAAATAAAAAATGTTTCATAGCCTCAATTATTTCCAATTTTGTTGTATAAACAAATAATAAATAATATAAAAAAAGTCAATAGTTATTCGATGGAACTTTCTATATGTGGCCTATAACAATTATGATGGCTTTTAAATGGCTAGAATGGACAACCAAAAGGATAAGAGTCATACGTCTATTTATTTATTCTAACTTTCATATTATTTATATATGTATATATATAAAGAGATGAACAATCAAATACAAATCATTTATATTTATATAAATCGTATAAATTATTTTTATCCGTCGATTTCATTGTTTAATCTTATAAATTTTTTTATGAAATTGTTTAACCTTATCAAATTGTTTCATACAATTTTTTTATGAAGGTGTTTCATATATGGTTATGAAATTGTTTCATATAATACTTATGAAATTTTAGTAAAACAATTTCATGTATTTCTCTAAAATTAATATAATATCAATGATTAACACCATCTTCTATAAAAATGATTAATTAACCTCTCAATTACAAAAAAAATGAACAAAAAAAAATTATGATTGATTGAATGGGGTTTGTACAATTTGTACAAATAACGTGGTTTGCAAAGTAAACCTCATGTGTGTGTGTGTATATATATATATATATATTTATTTATTTATTTATTTCTTTATTTATTGATTAACCTGGATTCCAACCCGCTATGAGAACTGACTAATCCCAGAACGACCATCCGCTTCGCGGCTAACCCGGAGTCATCGCATTTTAACCACGGTAGCGACAAAGGGATTTTTTACTCCTTATTGAATTTGAACCTGAAACTTTCAGACACTTTTGATCTTTGAAACTCAAGCTTAAACTAATCAGGTACCACATTTGTGGTTTTCATTGTTATATTTTACGCATATAATATCAGAAAAAATGTATTTTATATTACAAACACTTTAACTTTATATATATATATATATATATATATATATATATATATATATATTAAAATATTGATTAAATGAAAGTGACAAAAGAATAAATTATATAAAAATAATTGTTTGAAAAATATTAAAAAATTGATGAATATAATTGTCCCAACTTGAATAGTTGTGTCTTCAATTCTTTCTATGGTATGTATTTTACTTGGAAATGAATAAGATAGAATTTGTCTAAATATAACTATATAAGATAGTTCTTAGGTTTAATATTTAAATAATATTATAAGGGTATCCGTGTAATGCAGCGATATATCTCGATTTTAATGTTTTATTTTATTCAGTCGATATAATACAGTTTTATGTGATTTTTAGAAAACGATAATATTTTTATTTTTGAATGAAATATAAATTTGAAAAAAAAAGTATTAATATTAGTATTAAATTAATTATTTAAAAGCTATAGTTTTTCATATAATTTATTTAATTTATTTTTTATTATAATTTAATTTGGATTCAATAACAATGTAATTTATTTTTGTTTAATAATATAAATTTTTATAATGATGGTAATTAAATATTATGTTAAAACCCAATGATATCCTAATTATATTTTAATTTTATATATTTAAAATAAGATCTTTAATGTATTTGATTATGTTTATTTGAAGTTAGTTACGCGAATTCAAAAATAGAGTTTTAATAAGTTGCATTTACGCACAATTTACTTATAATATTGCATTTTAAGTAATATGCATCAATAAACAATACTTCATGCATAAAAATGATTTTTAAGAGTTTTTGTCAAATAGTTTATAGTATAGATAATAAAATATATTATTATAATATTACATGTTAATTTTAAATATTATGTATGATAGTTAAGAAATGTCGGCTCGTATAACGGGTTAGATATCCAGGTTAATAAAAAAAAGTAATTATAAAACAAAATAAATTAATTAATAATTATATTGGACACATATATACAGCATACACATACATAAAAAGACATAGTTACTTACGTTTCTTCAAAAAAATTGCAACAAATAAAGCTTGATGCCTCTCACGCTATTCCTATGTACTGAAAATGAGTCATTTTCTGGTTTCTTCCAACACTTTACAAAAGGGATAGCTTTATAAGCGTCGTGTTTTACTTATACGTATATTTGAAAGTTATTAT